TTTGTAAAACCTAGCATGGAGGATGATTTATTTCAAATTTATAAATAATGCTCACTAAATGATATAGATGCATCAAATTATGAATTGATATAATTTTAGACTTGTATTTTATATGACTTAATTGGGTAGCGCCACAGGAATTTTTCAAGGGAAGTTTTGAACATCACTAATCCAGGTATTAAAAGACAAATTGAACACAAATTTCGATTCATATAGAGTTGACATTTTTAACAGGCAACAAAGTGCACCCGTTTAGCTGTATGCAATTGATTAATAACGTAACGTTTTAAGCAGTATATATTTCTGTGTCTTTTACTAAGAACTGTAATAAAAAAAAATGAAGTACCTAACAGATACCTGCGAAAACGCTCATATTTTCAAATAACATATATAACTAGCTGTATTACCTGGCTTCCCCCGTATGCAGTTTTGTTACGTAAAATATTTCAAATTGAATCATTCGTGTGAATGGTCAGTAACAAGTTACGACCTACCTTTTTTTATATTGTTGTTTAGGTACAGTGTTGTATAAAGATAATTTATTAAATATCTAGATAAAGATAAAAGATAATTACTAGAATAGTTATCTAGATTAAGATAAAAAAAAGATAAATTGTATGTATTTGTCACAGAAATAAGTGTATACAATATCCATTATATCAGATAATAGTATGTAACACATCTGAATTTCATCACAGTCATGATTTATGTAACTTTATAAGTCAAAAGAATGTAAATTCTGGAAAGCAGTTTTTTGAACACCACAAAATTTGGAACCTGAAGAAGGTTCAAAAAACAAATAACAGAATACCAAAATACAATCTAGAGAAGCTTAAAGAAGAAGGAGAAAATCAAAAATACATCGAATCTCTCACAGAAAAATTAAGGGTAAACCAAACAGACAAGCTAGAAACAAGTGATAGATGGACTATTATAAGAAATACTATAACCGAAGCTGCAAGAAAATCACTAGGTGAAGCCAGAGAGCAAGCAAAGAAATGGTATAACAATGAGTGCCGGAATGTAGTGCTAAAAAGAAATGAATACCGTCAAAAGTATCTGAGAAATCTTTCAGCAAAATCCAAAGTACTATTTGAGACAGAACGAAAGAGATGCAAACAAGTTATACAGAGGGAAAAAAGGAAGTATATGAACGAGATCATACATAACACAGAGCAGCATTACACACAGGGCAGAGTCCGAAATTTCTTTGCAGCAATAAAAAGACACCAAAAGTACAACCCAACATTAAAAGCCATAAAAGATAAACATAATAGAATATTATTGGACCCGCAAATGAAAGCATCGAGGTGGCAAGAGTATTTCAGAGAGCTGTTGAATGGAGAGATACCAGCCACATCAATACCAGCACGGGAAGATCAGAGAGCGGAACAAGAAGTTAAGAATATATCATTAGATGAAACATTAAGAGCCATAAACCGACTGAAAAACTGGAAAGCCCCCGGGTCAGACGGGATACCAGCTGAACTTATAAAGTATGATGGCCTAGAACTACACAAAACGATTTATGAATTATGCAGTCGCATATGGAATGAGGAAATACTACCTGAAGAATGGAACAAGGCTATAATCATCCCGGTACATAAGAAAAGAGACAAGATGAGCTGCAACAACTATAGAAGGATATCGTTACTAAATACAGTATATAAAGTTTTCTCAAAAATTTTATTAGGACGACTAGAACCACTGGCTGAAGAGTGCAAGGAAACTATCAGTGTGGCTTTCGGAAAGGCAAATCCACAATAGACCAGCTCGCAACTATAGAGCAACTTCTAGAAAAGGTGTATGAGAACAGACAAAACATACGGCAAGTATTTGTGGATTTAAAAAAAGCCTATGATAGTATACATCGTGACAGCTTGTACAATATAATGTATGAGTTTGTCTTTCCTATGAAACTCATGTCACTGACAAAAATGTGTACGAACGGAACAAGATATCAAGTTAGAGTGGATTGTACATTGTCCGAAGAATTTGAAGTGATAACAGGGCTCAAGCAGGGCGACCCACTATCGCCACTACTTTTCAACATAGCATTAGAAAAAGTAATACGCATTGTACAAAGTAATAAACTCGGAATTAATATTGGCAAAACCACGCTAGATGTACTAGGTATTGCAGGCGATCTGAATTTAGTAGGAGAAAATAAGGAAATAATTGTGTGAAATACCAAAACACTCATGCAGGATGCAAAAAAGATTGGTCTAGAAATAAATGAGGAGAAAACAAAAGTGATGGAAACGTTGCCTGAAAAAGATGAGGAAGACCTTACAGTAGATAATTACGTATTCGAGAAAGCACATAGCTTCAAATACCTAGGTGTAACAATGACTGGAACACTGAAATAACTAGTCGCTTACTCAAAGCGGAAAGGGCTTTCTTCTCACTAATAAAATTTTTTAAATCGAAACTTTTCTCTAGAGGAACAAAATTACGACTGTATATGTGTATTGTAAGACCAACGCTAACCTATGGATGTGAAGTATGGCCGACGACAGTACAAATTGAACAAAAATTCAGAAGTTTTAAGAATAAAGTTCTAAGAACAATACGTGGACCGTCTTTTGATACCAAAATAAACGGGTGGCATAGAAGAAAAAACAAAGAATTTAGAGAAATCACCAAAGTACCTCCCATAACAAGTTATATAAAGGGGCAAAGAATACAATGGTTTGGATACGCAATGAGACTAGAGGAAACAAATGAAGTCAGAGCAGCAACTGAATACAAGCCAACAGGCAGAAGACCCAGAGGCAGACCGAAGAAACGATGGATGAATGGAGTACAACTAGATCTAGAGAGGTTAGAAGTAACAGAATGGGAAGAAAGGATACAGGATCGTGATTATTTTAGAGCAGTGACGGTGGCAGCCAAAACTCTTACAGAGTTGTGAAGGCACAAAAGAAGAAGAAGATCTTCAAATTGATGTCAAAAATCAATACTGAACAAATATTTAGACTAAAAATGTTCTGTACGCATAAAATATTATTTTTGAATAATTCTTTAATGTTTAAAATATTGAACAAAATTAAAAGAAATTAAATGAATTGTTTCTTTTTTTAATGGCAATAAATTATAATAATAATAATAATGGTATTTTCATGCCTAATAATTTATATAAATATTCAGTATTTAAAATTCTGGTAGTAATTTGATAGATTGGTATAGGTATACTGGAAATTAACTCCATATATACCTAATTATAGAATTATAACAATTAATATAGTGTTATAGTGTTATGTTTATTTTATCGACTAATCATATAGATGTTATTGCAATGCTAAAATTAGTATTGCATTTTATTTAATACTATGGAATACTTATTATTATTAATTGAAAATCATTTTGATTTATGATCGATTCAAATTTCAAGAGCGGAATGCAGGTTTACTGTTGACAGCGGAACGACACCAATACATAACTTAGGTATATAACATTTGGTTTTTAAAACTGATTTTACATTGTGACTTGTTAGTTCATGTTTATATGTTTGTCCGAGATAAATTATAGTTGTGATTTGTGGTTGGTTTATCTAGTAAATCCATGTATATTTGTTTTGTAATTTTATGAAAGAAGCTTTATTATAAAATGTAAATTTTATTTTACATACGAGGAATACCATGGTTGAATTCATGAGTTGTGCGAATTCACATGTCTCATGGCTTTTGAAATTTATTGTGTTAATTGTGTGGGTAATCTAAAATCATTTGTCTTTTTGCAGTTATTTATTTGAATGCTCAATGCAGTTGTGTAGTGTTCCATGTCCTTACTTATTGCTATGAGCATATGTACTCATTATTTGCTTGCATGAAAATATATTGATGTGTGAAGTTACAATATTTTTTTATGAGCTTTTGAATTTTGAATTTTGACAAATTTTAACAAAATTGTATATTCACCCGATTTCCTGTGTAGCGATTTTCTTCTTTTTGTGTGATCCAATAACGAATAACTGTAGACACCTACCTACTTTAAATTTACACTATATGTTTATTTTATTTGTTCATATACTTGATAAAATTATCAAAATATTTTTACTCGTTTCAAGTAGTTTACGAACGTTCAACATTTATATGCCAAGGATCAACAATTTAAAACAAATTTGCATACTAGAAGTTAATTTTGTAATCAAAAAATCAAAAAATATGTAACACAGTTTTATTTATGATTATTTTATGTTCAAATTTAAACGAAATTACATATTATTTGTAGTAAATTCGATGTTTTGTGTTCGTTATTGTGAATATTATAAGGTTAAAAATGTTTAAATGTTTTGTTAAAATATAAATTAATTCATGAATAATCATGAAAAAGTTCAGTCATTGTGAGTCTAATTTGAATTTAGATTTATATCTATAGATTTGCACCAGGTTGTTGTTGAATAGCTTCGTTTTATTGAACTTTTTCATGATTATTCTTGATATAATTTTTATTTTAATAAAATTAAAAAATTCATTGGGTTTGCCTTCTCTGCCGTATTTAATTTTTATTTATTTCTGCTTCATTATTCTTAGTTGAATTAATATCAACTTCTGATGAGTTAGAATTATTTTCATAATTAAAATGAAACATTGGGTTATTTTTTTTTTTATTCATTACTGGCAACTGAACGTATTGGATTAACCAATCAATCAGAATTTCGGTTAGGTAATTAATTTCATCAAGTATTGCTGCAATCAAAACCTATAAAAACACTTATATTAACTAATTTCCCTTTTTCAACGTATTAACGTTGTTAACAAACTGCTATTATAAATTATATTGTCAAATATTTTCGTGAAATGCACAATGTTTAATTTAGAATAAGACGTGAATTTTTATTTAAATTTATTTAAAGATTAAATCTCTACAGGTGTAGGCATCATTGTCTTCAAATATTCAAGAAAATGCGTTTCCCACGATACGTATATTTGTTTATACTTTGTCAAATTTGGTACCAAAGTTTTTATAATTTAAAATAATCCGACATTATTCATACAATGTTTTCTTTACTTCTTTCGAGAAATGGTTCGTTTTTGTCAATTCCAACATCAAAATTCTCAATGTCATATATCAGTCGTAATAGCGGTTTGGCATATCATAAGACACCGAATTCCACTCTGAAAATATCCAAACACACTCTACAGATGAAAAATCATGTTTGGTAATCTATTTAAATTATAAGGGTATTGTGATATTAGCATTATTGACTATTTTATATATCATGATACGAATGATGATACCATGCAATAGCTGTTAAGATAAAACGATTCAGGTTATAGTGAGTTACGAAATATTCTAATGCTGCTGTTACAGCATTAGGTATTCTACAAATATTATTAAATTGTCATTTTCATTATAAGATTCCATATTACGTCGAATACCTACTATATTAATTCGATGGTGCCCAAATACATAATATTATCTAATGTAGTTTGAATTACGGGTTTACCGTTACTAATGCAATATTTCATGAAAGTTATACATTTTCATGTCACAACATTAACAACATTATTGTGTTACATGTTTATAGTTATAAGGATAGACGTGAGTTTTCGCTGTTACTAACGGTAATCGGTGGCATGGCGGCACGGCGCTGGTGGTTCAATCGGCCGCCCGAGACGAGACGGCGGTACGCGGATGCGGCCTGGAAGTACCGTTTAGCCATTGGCACGACGATGATCACCGGACTATGTCTAATCGGAACGTATCTGTCGTGTTACATGGAATTGGACCCATGGACGGACCTGTGGCGGCTTTTCATATTCAGTGAACGGACGATCGAGGTAAAAGCCGACAAACAGGTGGCTATTATTCTGGGTGTGATGGGCAAGTGTTGCCTTCTAGGAATAGATCATCCTACATACAAACGAGTGGTTGGCGTGACGTCTCGGCTGTTGAACGCTAACATAAAGGTGAACGAGATCCGAAATCACCAGTGGAGTGTGGTAGTGGTGGACAACCCTATGATCAACGCTTTCGTCATGGCCAATGGGTTCATTTTTGTATTCTCCGGTCTGGCAGCCGTTGCCAACGACGATCAGCTTTCGATAATAGTCGGCCATGAGCTGGCTCACTGCATACTCCGGCACATGAACCATTATAACAGCGTCAATTTAGCGGTCCACTTACTGTGCATGTTACCTGTATCTATGGTCCTATCAATCATACTGCCATTCCCTCAGGCGTTGATAGCAGTCATAATGTGTCAACTAGTCTTATATGTTTGTGTAGGGTTGACTACTCAAAGGTCCCATGAGATCGAGGCAGACCGCGTCGGCTTGGAGCTGGCCGCGAACGCATGCGTAGACGTTACCCAGGGTTACCGATTCTGGGAGAACATGTCTAAAATAAATGGGCCGTCCACACGAATCTGGTGGTTGGAAACACATCCGACGGACAAAAGCCGTGCCCAATACTTATATAGCTTGATACCTGCTGCCAAGGAGCTCCAGAAACAGGCTGGATGCTAGATCTCGTTGAAAACAGCCTTATGCCTTTGGGTTCTTGCCCACACACCATCACTGCCATACACCTAGCAATAATGAGTTCACTGAATTTTTATACCTAATGTGTATCACCTTGAATTTTGGCATATTTAACTCAACGCAGTCAACGAACTCATTATTGCTGGGTGTGTGGTCATCGCCGTCGTTAGATGCTGTCAAAGAATGTGCGACGGCAGACCTCGGTGATAATTGCTAGTGATGGGATATGGACAAGAACCCAAAGGCATAAGGTTATTACAAAATATGCCAGTACAATAAATTATAATAAATACCTATACTAAGGTGGTAAAGGCGTGTGAGGCCAATCGACATCAAAGGATCTAGCATCCAGTCAGTTTCTGGAGCTCCATGGTTGCAGGTGTCAAGCTATACAAGTATACCAGGCCTGGCTTTTGTCCGTCGGGTGAGTTTTCAACCACCACGTCCAGGTTGACGACCGTTTATTTTATACATGGTTTCCTAGAATCAGTAACCTTAGGTGACACTTGCGTTCGCGGCCATCTCCAAGCCGACGCGATTGGTCTCCATATATTGGAGTCATCAGTCCTACACGTACATAAAAGACAATTTGACAAATTAAGATCTCCAATATCCCCGGAAGGAACAGCAGTGCGACTGATAGGATCATGATGTTACATGCACGGCACGTATACCATTAAATGTATTCTGTTATAATGATTCATTCATGATTTGTGCATATTGTATGAACAGATCTTTATTTTTATAATTTTTTTTAACAATATAGGTATTTATTATAATGTATTGTATTTGCAGTATTTGTAATAACCTTATTTATTAGAGTTCTTATACATCTTACCCACTCAACACACATTTATAATAAGTTTTCAATACAATATGTGTATAATATACTTTCAGACGCCTATCAGAGTCTTAAACTGTTACAGAAAAAACTACAACTCTTCGTATTTTAACAATTTAATTGTTATCCTAATTTTCTTACATAGTTTATGGTTTTTAATTTGTTTTATGCATACTTACAATATCTTAACCCTGATAACTTGATTTTGATGCAGAAAATATGTTTTCTATGATCTGATGGGCGTAATGAGTTTCGTATAAATTATTATTTTGTAGCTAAGTACTAGCCAGACACTAGTTATGAATATTTTTTAAATTAACATTGTATGATTATTTAGTTGGGACTTTACATATAATGTATATATATTTTATACTCTTATATGTTACTATGTGTACAAATCCTAACGCTGCATAGGAGCCCTAAACAGTAGGTAACGTCTTACATACATATCAAAATATACTATACTACATAAATGTAGAAATTATGAAGATAAAAAAATATTATATTTTGAACTTATTATCTACTAAAACAATATTTTAAAATATAGTATAGATTGTAAAACCTTAAACTGCATGCAAACTCAGTGACACCATGTCTAGATTATTCACTATGTATTTTCATTAACGTTTAGTGGCATTGAGTGTGGTTACAAAATATAGAGCTGTAGAAAACATATGATTTAATATTTAAGTTACAAAATATTAGTGAATATGAAGAATGAATAATAGATAATTTTTTTAGTATGTGTGCGAGAGTGGCACTTGTATAATTTTCATATAATTATGGATGTGTGAATCAATTATTCCGGAAAAAAAATCCATAGTTTAAATATTTTGATTTGATTTTATGCATTCGTAATTTATTGCAATATATTTGTCATAGTAATTTATTTATAATTTATAATTTTAACTAAAATTTCAGTTAATAGAATAATATAATATCAAATATTACAGTAAATACATTTATTCGAAATATCACATCTTTATAATGCTAAAGTTTTATAATTTTTTTTTTTATTATTTTTGCATTAGGTATATACAATCTGTTCCTTTTGGGACAATAAGAATATGTGGTATTGGAAACAAAATATTTACATGAAAACGTGATGGGAGGAGTCACCCAGTGGTTACACTGCCCTAACTTGATTTATTTTTTTTTATTTTAACTTAAGTTACTCATTGAGAAGATCTCTACATCATTTTCTTTTGAGCCTCCTGGGAGGGTTCCCAGGAATTGTGAGAGTGGCAAGGTTTGAGATGAGAAGGTTGGTATGAGAAGGGAGTTTTGAGTGGAACCGCTTGTAAAAAGTTACTGCTTCTTCGTGGACTGTTTTAATTTTTAGATCGGTGTGTAAGGTTAGGTTTGAAATATAAGGAAGAGAATTTGTGATTTTACGAAGGATGTTGTTTTGTAAGGTTTGAATTTTATTAGTGTTGGATTTTTTGGCATTGCCCCAGAGTTGAAAACCATAGTTCACATAGGCTTAAACAGGGATTTATAAATTAAGAGTTTAGTATTTAATGTAGTGTGTTTGTTATTGGATATTAGAGTTTTGAGGATACGGAGTCGTGCATTTAAGGCAAGCCTTTTAATTTTTATATGATGTGACCATGTGAGACGACGATCAATTGTCAGACCTAGGTATTTAGCCGATTGAGAGGAAGGGATTTGAATATTGTCTAGGGATACCATAGGAAAGGGAGGAAGACAAAGAGTGAAGGTTGTATGAAGTGATTTGGATTGGTTAACTTTGATACGCCATTAGGTCGAGGTGGAGTTATAGATTGAGGATTATCATGGATAGAAATAATTGCCTTGTCATCGGCAAACTCCGCAACAGTTGTGTACGGAGAGGTGGGTTGATCGGCAGCGTAGAGATTGAATAAGGAAGGAGAAAGGATGCCCCCCTGAGGAACACCTGCACTAATCTTTGCTAATCCAGAAAAGGATGTGCCAACTATGACCTAAAAGTAACGATCCGTGAGGTAGGATTTGATTAATAAATAATAAGTTGGATGGAATATTGGCTTTATTTTATATAGCAGTCCCTCATGCCAAAAGTTTTATAAATAACTATTTTTTTTTTTAACTTAGCTATTTCTTAAACGGAGTTGTACGAAGTGTTTTTGTTGGAATTATAATTATAGAACATGCGTGTACTTACATGGTGTATTACAGTGAAGTTAATAAGCCACTACTTATATCTATTCGAGAAGCAACTAGTGTGAAAATTATTGGAAGGCAACTCGTGTATATTAATTTCTTATTACGATAGTGATGGGAAGCAACTATAGAACCTATGCAACGTGCTGTGGTTTAATGTTATTATTTATATGATATTATGAAATTCAAATTTTGTGAGAATTCAAAATTCTGACACCAATATAACTATAAACTTCATAAATAGCCATAACGCTTGTTCGTTATAAAAATTTATAATAAATCAAAGCACCAATTTTTATCAGATTTAGACACTGTGAGGCTGTTGTATAGTAAAATATCCATTAATAATTTACTCTCAAAAACTACTAACCAATATATCAACAGTGTTGATGGTAAAATTGTTCTCTATTGGGCAAAACATTTGTGGAGTTATGGGATCTCTTTTTCCTAGGATCCATTTTTGTACTTCGGTACTACTCTTCACTCTGTAACCAGCCAGAACTTTGCCTATTAGAAGCAAAAAAGTTTACAATTGTTGTGATGTAGGTACACAGGATGATTTTATAAGCATGCTCATTGCTTATATCTATTTTTAACTTAAATATTATATTTCTTCGAATTCGGATTTTAAGCTTACTTAAGGACTATATTTTTAAATTCGTGATATTTAGCTTACCTCCTACTTAAGAAATAGGAGAAGTGTATTTAAGTGTATTTAAGTGTTATTTTCTTGTTGCTTTACAAACTTATATTTTTCAAATGAGAACTCATTTTTTTACTCAAAATTATATAGAGGTTTTTCTTGAAAATATAGATGTATTTAAATAAAAATTCTTACGAGTACCTAGTGTCTTAGTTATTAAAATGTTCAGACGAACCATAAAAATCCTTAAAAACATAAATATAAATTTTACGTAGTATAATATTTTATATTTTTTATAATTGATTGGATCATTTTTACAAATTATTTCTATTGATATATAAATAATAACTAATAACATATTAAAATCATATAAGCTCCCATATCTACTCAACCCATAGCTATAGACATATTGTCCTTAATATACAAAGTTATATAATTCAAAAACTTATCGTTAAAATGTTGATTTGGATTTATCAAAATTCTTAAAAAAAACATCTGCATAATAATTAATAATTAAAGAGGGAGGTGTTTATTTAAAAACAGAATTTGTATTGTCACAGGATTATCATAAGTGGTACAAAAAATCTCAAGTGTTCGAAAATATGGTCTTCAAGTATATTCAAAAATTCTAAAAATCAGATTTTTATATATTTGTCATAAGCATACAAATTGGTTGGCATTCTTAAAAAATCATCCTGTATAATGTATATTATAAATATAGGGTAAGAGTACCAATGAATGAACGTTACCAGTGAATGAACAAATTATACTTTATATTGTATTATTAAGAAACCCAGTGCACGTACACTTTATATTTATAATATATAAAACAATCATAATATTCTTATGTTGCCACACGTGATTTTTCACGAACACAAGAACGTTTCTCTTTTATATGAAACGATAAGTTTTCCCCCCAATTTGTAAATGATACTGTTATTATCATTTTTTTTCTAAGAAATCATATTCTCGATTCCTATATACTCAAGCCGATTTGATTAGTGCTGTTTCTTCTATAAAAAATAAAGAAAAAACTTTGAATGCAGTACACAGAGAAACAGGTATTCCCAAGTCTACATTAAGCAATAAAATAAATAATAAAGTACCTATGAACCGGAAAATGGGTCCTCCAACTGTCCTATCAGATAGCGAGGAAAGTAGAGTTGTAAATTGGATATTAGCTAAGGCAAGAGTAGGATTTCCAATACACCCAGAAACATTAAAAGATTCAATTCAAAAAATCTTAAAGGAGTCAAATAAACCTAATCCTTTCACAGATGATCGCCCTGGAATAAAGTGGTTTAATTTATTTCTTAAAAGACATCAAAACATTGCAAAACGAAACACTGAATTAATT